TGATGTTTTTACATAAAACAAACACAATTATCTCCCTGAAATTCAGTACTTTATTGGTTCACTGAAACATTGTAAATACTGTGTTAATTAGTAGAGTACAATATTTATCATATGTGGCGCCACCTGTCAGCCAGTTATCAGTTGATATTTACATAACAATTTCACTATCAAAAAACTTGTATCTCTTTAATAAATGTTGTTTTCAAATGTTTTTTTAGGGATCTTGTTTTATCATGACTTCTCTCGCGTGCTCTCATTAAATTTATAACACAATGCTTTATCTACCGAACAAGGAGTAAAGGTTTTTTGCAAGGGGGAAAATACCATCGAATGATTTCTCCCGCCCGGGTGAGGCGAGAGGGAGTGTCAGACTCTTAATGACTAAAAACTGCCCCGTTCCTACTCCTGCACTTCGAGCCGAAGCCCCGGTAACCCGTTATGTCCTCCGCGGATCCGAATCGGCATTAGCCCTATTGGGCCCCATCTGTGGTGGTCTGATGGCTCTATGAGGCCGCGCGGAATACTGTGTGAAACTCAAAAGCCACCAAATTTACAAAACATACTACACAATCTAAAGTGTCTATTACCAGTGTAAATTACTGCAATGTAACATAATCGAATTATTCTACTTACATCACAATAAATAACTTATTTCGTAACAATTTATTGTTTGGAATCAAAACAAAGCTAAAATTCCGTAGCCTCTGACCTGTAGGCTATCAACAATACCTAAGGTAGATAACAAAATACTCAATCTTACTAAAACAACTAAAAAACTCAGGTCATTACACCCGGATATCGCAATAAAATAATGCAGAGGTTTCTTCCAATACTTTTATTTTTAAACATATTCTTGTCTATTTTCTTTTTTAAATCTAGCTGCACACTAGTATTTTCGATTCAATAAAGAACACTAAACAGCAAAATCCGGAACAAAAATTTGAGCTTATCAAATAATTTTTCTTTTCTATCGAATCCATTATACATACGTTATGCCAATCTTCCAGCCAGTGCGCCAACCGTGTAATCCATTTGGACCACTTTTATTTTTTTTAATACTGAAACTGGGATTTTTTGAAGTCGACGTCATGTCCAAACCCGGAAATTTAGCCTGTGGATAACACAAGTAATAAGTGTTTATTTCGGACAGGTCATAAATTCATAGGGGTTAGTAAGTTTTTTTTAATCTTAAAGCTATGTTGTGTACGTATTTTGTTACAAGCCTATTGTCTGGAATACATCTTCGTACGATACCATGTATTATAGGTGAATCGTACCTCCCGTTCCCGTATCGTTTTGTTTGGGATTCGAAAGTGCGCCAACCATGCAATCTTTAAGTTACGGAAAAGCCTTGAGATTCTAAAAATGGCCCATCGACTAACCAACCTTGGCTAAGGGTAGCTTAACCAAAAGTGGTCAATCTATGTAAGTACTTATGTACTATAGGTATTTATATAAAATTCCATTCCAATATGTGTAGATATTATGGTAACAAGTGGAATACACGAGTACTCAAATCGACATTAGTCTACAGCATGTGTAAAAGTACAATCGGCCAATGTATTGGACAGCTCGGTAGAATGTATGTCTGTTGTGGTTGAATTTAAATCTTTGTCAGTGAGATTGTAACGCATTTTTTAAAGAGTAGTGATAGATTTTCTTGGTAATTATTCTCGAAATGGATCTATGTAGATTTTGGAAAGAGCATCTAGATTCATTATTTTGACGTTTCAAAAGTGCTTTTACTTGGATTAATTGAAAATGTAAACTTATTTTTGTGAAATTAACTAGGAAAAGTCATCACATATGTATATCATTTGGATAAATGAACTTTCTTTAATTTTGTTTGCATCGTAAGCAAGTAGTGAGTGGAAGTATCAGTTCCATGGGTCATCGGTACATTTGTCGATAGTACCTCTGTGAGATACCCGCAGGCGTACTCTAGATAATAAAATAGTATTCTGATACTAAGATAATATTTTGCCATGAATAATTTATAGGGCCTACGAAAGCAAGGGCGTTATCGCAATTCCGTGAACTTTGCTCAGTAAACATGGAAAAACATATAATAAATGTTTTAATTATGTTTTCTCAAGGAAGATACTTTGTTTTTCGATCCTTTCTGAAGCGGAAAGATTGTTTTTGTGTGAAAAGAAACGGGACTTATTTCCTTGTAAGTCGTTTGTCGTTAATGTTTCTGGGAGTGTTAAGTTGGATTCTGTCTGTACTGTCTTTGTGATGAGTATTGGAGGAAAATAACATGATTTTGAAGAAGTTTTCCATGGAAATATTTTGGTATCGATTGGTTAGTAGCTTTTTTCGTGAACGTTGTGTATGATGTTTCGGTTTTGACAGTATTTATTCAGTATTCACTTCCTTCTTCAACAGACACAACGGCGCCAATGCAAAAAACACCTAAACCCCAATGATTCAGGAACGATTTTACAAAAAACAACTTAGGTATTCCACGATTCCATATAACTTTCTAGAACCGACCAATTTCCTTAATGTCTCAGCCGAAAACATTTATGAAGTTGAACGCATGTAAATCAACACAAGTGTTCTTGTTTTTCCCCCTCCTTCTACCATTTTGGGAAAATCGTTAGGCTTGTACATAGGTAGGGTTGTCAGGCGGTCCTAAAGGCCGGACAGATCTGCGAACTTGGCCTTGATTAGAAAAGCCAGACACCTTCATCATCATTATGATAAACAGCCAACAGAGTCCATAGCTTAACTATGGACCTCCTTTACAAAATACAGTTTCGGTGCTCCTTCACGTTTTAAGTAAACTCTTGAGAGATGGTTTAGGTGTAGTTGGAAACAACCTTAAGAGTGTGTTCATCGCGACAAGAGTCTCAATCTGTTAAGAATTAAAAACCCGGACATGCCGTTAATTTTAGCCGGACAGCCAATTAATGTCCGGGTTTATCTAACCGCTTGGCACCCCTATAAACAGATAACACACAAGAGGTCAGGACACGCGGGTTTTCTGTTCAATCAATCAAACGGATGGATAGGACTATACTCGGTCTGACGGGAGCGTAGACAATGATTTACTGTTGCGAATCACTACTGATTTATAATGGCCGCCCTGAAGTTAGGGATTGTAAACGGTTGTGATAACGAGCTGATTGTATTGTTCAACGAAAGGTTAGGAAAGGTAAGGTGTTTGAGATTGTTGAAAAAAAACAATAGTACCTAAGTAAAAAGGTTGGATTTTCAGTTAAGCTAAATTTTAACGTATTTCATTTTTCTATAATCACTATTATAATAATACGGAGCGATCATCGTACTACCAAATATTGATTTCGTTCTCCTATACCTTACCTAACCCGAGAATCGAACACAACACAGCCTATTCCACAACAAACCTAATGAAATTGTAAACGGCATCTTAATGAAATGCTTCAAAACGACGGTCTCACTGTTTAAAAGGTACTAACCATTCAGTGGCTGCTGTAAAATAATTAATGCGCAATCCAATTGTAGTGCCTAATTCATTAAACACTCCATAATGTCTTCGTTAATTACGCTGCAGTAGTAATGAGATATTTATGAACCTTCATCATGTTTGTATGTGAGGTTTCATTATGTTAAATGGCTGGATCGATTTTGATGTGACGATTAAGAAAGATTGAATTGAAATGTACGGGTGTCTGTATGAATATTGTTGTGTGGGGTGGGTAGAGATGTTACAATATGTTTAGTTTTTATGGCCTTATGTTTTGTTTTATTTAATCATATCTAAATATGTCGACCTCATCGTTCGCTAGATGAAATTGACGTGTAAAAGTGCTGCCTTGTAGCCTATTTGCAGAAATAAATTCACTTGTTTCACTTGTTGGTTTAAAAGTATATGTGAACACGAAATCCTATTTGTGTATTAACAAAATGTCGTCACAATCTTTATATATATAATTCTGCTGTTCGTGTGTATGTCATTGAACTCCTAAACGGCTTGACCGATTTAAATGAATTTTTCTGTACGCGTTTGAGTGGCGCCCTAGATGGTTTAGATTCACAAATCAGCCCGGCAGATGGCGCTGCAGTCGGTTTCTAAGTTAGTTAACCTAAACGGCTGAACTAATTTAACTCGTCGAGTACCGTCATTATAGACACAATCATAGAACAATAGGTTGCGGTCACCGGTGACCGCTTGGTGTTTGACAGTTTAAAATAAGTTATGTTTATACATTCAACTGGATATGCAGGACAACGTCTGTCGGGTCCGCTAGTGTTTATATAAGTTTCAGAATGTATTAGTAGTTTGAAAATAACATCATATTCACTAAAATCTGCACTGCACTACACTGCACCTCCAGGAGAAAATCCTTAATAAAAAATAACAATTTACGTCCAAGAATACGTGAACGTAATATATTTTAAGAAATTCAGTCTATTTTTGTTCTGGATTTCTTTCAATGTCTAAATTAACTCCGTTTTCAAGTTATCAAGTTAGTGCGTGGGAAGGACCTTACCGGCGGATCTTATATTAAGATACAAAGTTCAATATAAAATGTAACACAAACTTCGCTTTTCAACAATAGCTCTGTTTATATAAACTTTGTGAATTTGTAATTATTTCCTGTTTTTCTCTTTACATTGAGGTAAACAAGAGTAGTTTATTTTTGGGTGATTTATTGTTGTATAGTTGGTTATTAATTTTCGTTAAGGTACATATATATAGAATACTTACTTATATATTACAATATTTACCACTGGAATCTTCTGACAAAATATTATTTGGTACGTGAGTAGTAGCATAATGGTCTTCTCTATCTCTTATAGAAGAACTAAAGAGTGCTAGTAATATATGAGTCTTACATAACATTAAACATTTCCTTAGAGGGTTAATCAAAAGTATTTTACTCGTTATTTCATGCCAAAACGTCCCAAAACCTGTACATGACTAAACTGCGACAGACATGACATGACACTGCTAAAAACCAATTTTATCTTAACCTACAAGACAAAAGGCTAATTCAATGTTACCTTTCCAGATTTAGACAAGCAGTTCTCGGTGCACCCCGAGAATGCGACGGTGTGGCGAGGCCAGCCGACCGTGCTGAACTGCGCCATCAGCTCAGGCCCTGACGCCACCCTCTCCTGGCAGAAGGATGGAGAACCTCTGCCTGATAGTAATAGGTACGTGTCACCTAATAATCCTGGTAAATATTAAGTGGACTTGCCAATAAAAGTTTTTGATCGTGGCTTCACCTGTAAATAACACACAAATGCTGGTGCAATTCCATAAATGTACCAAATTAGCTTGATTCTTTAGAATAAGCCCAAGTTAAGTTGTTCCTTTGCTACCTCAACGCCTAAATGGACTGGTAATCTTAAAACTTTTGGAGCAGCTGGAAAGTTCGAAAAAGTATGTTTCACTTTTCAACAACCTATCAATTGATTTGTTTCAGATATCATTTACTAAATAACCAACTACTAATAACGGACGTGACAGATGAAGATGCAGGATTGTACAGGTATTTAAACATAACTTCCTTTATTTATAACCTTTGTAAAATCCATTTCAAATACACGCTAAATATACGGCGCTACGCAATTTTATTTGCTACGAAGTATGCGACTGGCATCGCTACGCAGTGCTACGGCGTAGCACATATCGCTACAGCTGCATTTTGTCTACGAGTTACAGAATTTATTCTTTCTTTGTGCATTTGTTACGCCTATTACGTTTAACTTTAACTTCCTTAAATATAGAGTTTATTAGGTTAACTTATATATATAAACTTTAAATCTATTACTAATGCCTGAATACTGAAATGCTACTAAATTTTAAGTTGTACTTAAATATCATGTCATTTTACGAAGAATTTGTATACAGAACTATACTTAAGCGCAACTTAAAATTTTTTTAAACAAAAATATTCAAACCGTGGAGTACTTAACGGGTTACCGGGGCGAAGGGCAGGAGTAAGAACGGGGATGGTTTTTAGTCAGTAAGAGTCTGACACTCAACCTCAACCAGGCGGGAGAAGTCTTCCAATGATTTCCCCCTTAAAAAAAACTTCAAATTGAGTAGCGTTTGAGCATGCAGGTGTTACTCTATTAAATAGTAGTAGGTACTAACATCATTTTTCCCTTCACCAGATGTAAAGCAACGAACTCTCACGCGAACAGAACGAGAGTCAGTCATGGAGGTAGACTGCAAGTTGAGGAGTACCCTGCAGACCTGGAGCCTGGGATGCTCCCGGTGCATGACCAGAGGGACATAGCTGTTCCAGCAGGCGGGACCTTGGTGATGCCATGTCCTGTTACAGGATGGCCACGGCCAAGAGTAAGTTATCTGTTGCTGAAGACAAAGTTATTATTGGATGTCATTTTCGGGCGCGTGTGAGTGTGTGTGTGTGTGTAAAGTGAAAAGCAATTCTACAAAAATATCATAACAATATACCCTTCTAGTCCTTTAGCTAAATTATCTTTGTCTAACAATCTGTCTGCGTTTTAGGCTACCGTAATCAAAAACCCTTGAACGCCTGACCATGTTCGTCGGTCTGTAGGTCTATCCGGTCATTTGCAGTTAAATTCAAACACTACTACATCATTACGCCTTTTATCACTGAAGGGGTAGGCAGAGGCGCACATTACAGCACTTAATGCAACTGTACAATATAACACCCAGTTTTCACTATTTATGGTATGAGTCCCATGTAATAGGGGGTGAGCCTATTGCCATATACAGGGCACAAATCCAGTCCTGTGCTACTACTGAGATATTGTAATATAATACTTTGCCCTACCCGGGAATCGAATCCGAGACCCCCTTGCCTGGCAGTCGCACTTGCGACTCCTCGGCCAACGAGGCAGTCGCGAACACTATTTATACAATAATGTTAAAATAAGTATGTAGTATATAGATATATACAAGTTAATCACGCTAATAAACGCTTAAGATAAAATCTTTAACGATTTATTATTTTTAGAAGTTATATTTAATGTGAGGATGTCTACGTGTATCGTAACGTAATAAATGAATTTCCTTTCTTTTCATTATTTATGTTATCTTTCTTCTTCCAGCTAATATGGCAGTTCTCTCAGCCTGGCGAGAGGACGAGTGAGCTGGAGGAGACGGATGAGGTCCTCATACGGAAGCATGTGGACCTGCAGCAGGAGGGAGTTTACACCTGCAGTGTTGAAGGCAATAGTGATCTGTTCAAGGTGAGGATTATTTACTTTCTGTTATAGAGGTCCTGATGTGTGGTAGGGAGGGACGGAGTGCAATACATTTGTAAATTCACGTAGGTATTCTTCCCGTGGGTATCGTAAAAGGGACTACACATAAACAGCAGCAGCGCTCTCTAAATAAACCTAAACTTGTAATAGCACATCTCTATTACGGAATCAATTATAATGCATTTATGATGAACCTATATAGTTGTAAAAACTTAAATTTTAGATTACAATACCAACAGCCTATAAGTGGTCACTGCTGAGCAAAGCCTCTCACAAAGAAGGTTTGAGCATTAATCACCACGCTTGCTAATGAGCGCTTGCTAATGGGCGGATCGGCGCTTTCAAACTTATAATTAGAAATTATAAGTCCAGGTTTCACCACGATGTTTTCCTTCACCGATGGTGTTTGAGTAATCTTGGAAAGTACATATGTTTAACAAGAGAAAAAGTCACATTGGTACTTGCCGTTGGTAGATTTCAAACCCGCACGCATGCACGTCACTCGACATTCAGATTCTCAATAGCTTGGAAATATTTCGCCGTTGTTACATGGAACTCAGAGCTATCGTAAAGTGGGTGTCACTTTTAAAATTAACAATTTACCTTTTAGTTTCTTTACGATACAAAAACATGACCATATTGCCTGAAACAGACGAATTCGGCGAATCGAAAACTACTAAGATTTTTTTTTATTAATTTCGAGAAACGTAACCAGTGGACATAACTACATACACTGTTTAAAAAACGCAAAATGTTGTATTTTTCAATAGAAATAAATCCGAATCGTAACATCAAAGCATGACGTAGAAACTTGCACATAAAACCACCCAAACTTTCAAAAAAATTTCAACTTCATTCCTTTAGCAATACAGTTGAAAATACTATGAAGACAATTGACTGTATTTTTAGGCCTGGAGGTTAACATTTTGTCAATTACATCCAGTGATATGTACTCAATTTCTAACACAAATGCCTTAAAGCGATACAAGGCGGTTTCTTAGATATTATCGTATCTATGCTATGTAATAGTGACAGTGTGTGTCACTGTTTGTTTGTTCATATTTCACGGCAAAACGGAGCTACGAATTGACGTGATTTTTAAGTTATAGGGATTTATACATAGGCTACTTTTAGGTTCGTTTTATTAGGTACCCCCTTTTCTCTAAAATGGGGATGGAAATTTAAAGTATTTCACAATTTTCACATATAACATAACATCACGCCTTTTATCCCCGAAGGAGTAGACAGAGGTGTACAGTGGTATAATGTATACCTCTCCATATACCGCCATATACCGGGCACAACTCCATGCAGATTCCGTGCTACTACTGAGAATATTTAAAAACCCAGTAATATTTTGCCCGACCCGGGAATCGAACCCGATACCCCTTGCATGGCAGTTGCACTTGCGACCTCTCGGCTAACTAGGCATTCAAAGGTAGAAAGTAAAAAAAATGTATGCGGACTATTTGTGAGTAATACCCAAATGGCCCCCAGCCCCTTAAAGGCGAGCGAAACTGCGGGCAAAAGCCAATATAACCACAGCAATTACTGAAATAGATATGTTTAGATTGTTAGAATTAAATATTGTTTGATAGAGTTTCTTGTTTGTTTTGTTAACGCGTGGGTTTATTGTACAGGGTAACGATTTTTGATTGGGATGTCATGTTTTTTTTTGGTTATATTTTGTTAAAAAAAACGTTGCTCCGCACTAGTATTTTCTCCTGTGCCGTGGGTGCGTTTACAAACATACAAGTTCACATACACATGACTCCCAGACCCGAAACAACAATCTGTGGATCACACAAAGAGTTGTTCCGTGCGGGAATCGATTCCGCCACACGTTCCGCAGCAGCCAGTTGCCCAGCCACCACAGTTGCCTTTTATTTTCTTAAAAACGAAAGAGGTACTAGACTAGATAGAATAGGGTTCAATTTCTGGAGCGGTCGGGCAAAGTACAATTGAAGATTTGTTTATATATAACTCAGTAGTTCGACCAAGGCTGTCTCTTGACTAGATGAACACTATTAACATGGAATCATTTCAGAATTACAAATATATATCTAAAACCCTTCTCCTCTTCCAGACCTTCAACGTAACCATAACAGAACCAGTCAAGATCACGGTGCCACCCATCTCGAAGCAGACCATCAGAGCCGGCACCGTCCGGTTCAACTGCACCGCTGTTGGGAGACCAGCCCCCACTGTCACCTGGTACAAGGATGGAAAGCCGCTGGTAGTGGCTGGGAGGGTGAGTTAGAGAAATTATATTATCTATACAGATAAATAAAATTGGAGTGTCTCTTTGTAATATTGAAATAACAGCTTTTTACAACATGCGTATGAATTATACATACGATGCATATACCAAAATAACACTTTTTAAAATTTTTATTTGTCTGTCAGTCTGTTTGTACTGGGTAATCTCTTAATTGGCTGGACCGGTTTCGCCGGGACTTTTATTAACAGGTAGCTTATGTACTAAGGAGTAACATACGCTACTTTTATTTTTAAAAACGAAGGTGCGGTTTCATCTAGTTATACTTGTAAAATTACAGTTAATTACCTACTTCGTTATTATAGGTAAGAACTTTTCTGGGCAGATAGTAAAACCTTTTAAATAATAATTACTAAAGTTTAAATTGCTCAACAAGTAATAAAGTTGAAATTGTCAAATAAATGAAGTAATCTCTATCTATTAGTTTCCTATTCGTTCTTCAACTTAGTTTCGGATTGGTACTGGACCTTATTCTGTTCGCACTGAATGTTTGTATGGAGCATATTTTTGATTAGATTTACTTTATCATAAATACTAATAGTTATCTGAGAAATTTTACTTAAAACATCAAACGTCATGGTCGCCGTCATCGGTGACCGTCGTTAGCGGAGAATTTGCTTTCAACAGTTTTCTATTGGCAGTCAAAATCTAAACTGTTGTTCAAATTCCAGATCGTGGTGTTACCATCGACAGATGGGAAGCGAATGGAACTTCTCATCAGGAGTCTCACATCCGAAGATGCAGGTAAACTATTATTTACTATTCTTAAAATTAGAAATTCTTACTATTGGTCTTCATCTCAATAGTTCACTTTCTATATTAAATTTTCTTATTTTTATTTTCTATCTTTTGTAAACAATAATAGAATAATAGAAAGTATTGTAAACGCAGCAATTGAATAAATCTTTCACTATATTTATTAAGATTTACAACTATACCAATTATAAGTTCCATAAAAACCTCTTAAGTGTAATTTTGCCACCCCTTTTTGTCCAGGTGTATACCAATGCTTCGCCCAGAACCCTACGTCATCAGCCTCAGCGTGGGCTACCCTGAACGTGACAGGAGCGGGTGCTGCAGCTCCCACAGGCGTGCAATGTTGGCCGGCCGGCGCCAGGGCCGTCGCTGTGCGCTGGCCCAAGGTCAACGCTGATGTCATGGCTTATACCGTGCAGATTACCACGCCAGGTTAGTAAAAGATCCTTCCTTCGTAATTCTTCACTTTTTTTGTGCTTCAATCAAAACTAATTATTTTTTTTTGTATAAAACGTTGCTCCTCACTAGGAGTTTCTCCTGTGTCGTGGGTGCGTTTACAAACATACGCGTTCACATGACACCCAGACCCGAAACAACGATCTGTGGATCTCACAAAGAGTTGTTCCGTGCGAGAATCGGTCAGTTGGCCAACCACCCGCCAACCGTGCAATCTGGCTACATTATTTACTCTGGAACAAGGCCCTGGAAATTATTACACTGTCTGTTTTAATTTAAAATCTTTGGATCGATCAAACTTGTTGACAGAAAAGTCATACAACTATTGTCAAGGAACATGATTTCGGATTGCGGTCTGTTTTTAATTCTCACCGTTAGTGATGATTCTGGATGCCTTCTTAACTGGAAGATTCCATCGGTTCAGAGGTTTATCGCAAAGTTTTCAAGAAAGATCATAAGTAATTTGTGATTATTGTCAGAAAGAAATAAATATACCTCTAGGTAAAACACTAAAATAACAGACCCATGCTTCTAAAGACTGGTTCGAGTGAAGTGATACCGGGGCTCATAGTAAACATGGATTTTCCTGCTACTTCCGAGATTTTGAAATATTTAATAGTTTTCCACTTACCAGGTGGCAATTCATTACCCGGGCAGCCAGTTATTGGCATCGAGGAGATCATCTCTGTTGCGGAACCACTCACACCTTACGGTTTCCAGGTTAGTACAAACTTTGGTATAGAATGCTTTCTTTTTGTTGACTATTACTTATTATAATACTTATTATAAATATCTCAAACTAAAATTTTTTAAAGGCAAAGTCAAAGCATTTATTTCAATTAAACCATAATTTGGTACTTCTGAAACGTCAACAAATACAAAATAAATAAAAGTCTGTCAGTCAGTCTGTCAGTGAAGCTAGGTGAAGCTAGGTGCTCATTCCAAAATGTAGATTCGAATGAAGAACGAGCAAGAATCTCCATATCTCCATCTTTACAAGATAAAAGACTAACATTATAACTATCGTCTGCAGGTTCGTGCTTACATCAAGTCATCATCAACGAACAAGAACGTCGCAAGTGACATATCTGAGAGTGTCACGTGTCAGGGACAAGGGGGTAAGCAGAACTTGTTAAATAGCTATCGTACTGATTTAAAACATTTTTTTAAGCCATGTAAGGTCAAGGTTAGACTGAAGAAAATGAATAGTAGCTTTAATAATTTGACGATTTTTACCTGAAGCAATATTTTCAAAACTAATGGAGGTTGAATATATTTAATAGCTTTAGGTTTTTTAAAGAAGAATAAATGAGTTTGGGAATTGGAAACCAATACTAAATGGATACCTCCTATGGTGTAGTACCCATGTGGACAGACGACCACAAAAGGTCGCAGGGTGTCGCTGGATGCAGATCGTTTCCAATCATTCCTAATTTGGTACCTCTTTTGTTACAGTTGAATTTCAAATTCAGCACCATAAATATTACAATTGTCATATTATTTACAGTACCAATAAAACTGGCTCGCCAAGGAGACGACATCATAGTATCTTGGAAGCAGTTCGCAGACCAGACTCCTGGCGTGCTGCAGTGGATCTTGCAGTATAAGGCGGAGAACAGCACTGATGAGCATAACGTCACCTTGGATAAGGGCGTCACCAATCATACCATAAAAGGTAAGCTGTAGATTTGGTTAACTCGTCGAGTACCGTCATTATAGACACAATTATAGAACAATAGGTTGCGGTCATCGGTGACCGTTTGGTGTTTGACAGTTTAACTCGTCGAGTACCGTCATTATAGACTCAATTATAGAACAATAGGTTGCGGTCACCGGTGACCGCTTGGTGTTTGACAGTTTAAAGGAGTTTGAAGTTCAGGGCTTCTTAAAGATCACATTTATTTAATTATTTACACTTCTATGGGTATAACATACGATGGCGGACTTAATGTCGAGTGGCATTCTCTAGTAGTCAACCAGTCAGTGTCAGTCAGTCATAATTATAAAAAAACCTATTACCGGCACTAATAAAAATTAACTTTTTCTGACAAAAATCAAGAGTCAGGACCAGACTCAACATCGATGTCAAAGTTTATTGTAAGACTAGCTACTTCCGCGCGGTTTCACACGCTCTGCTCAGCTGCTATTGGTCGTAGCGTGATGTTTTATAGCCTGTAGCCATCCTCGGTAAATGCGCTATCTAACACAAAAATAATTTTTCAAATCAGACTTGTACTTACGGGAGATTAGCGCGTTCAAACAAACAAACTCTTTCGCTTTATATCAATACATAGTATAAAACAAAGTCGCTTTCGCTGTATGTCCGTATGTATGCTTAGATCTTTAAAACTACGCAACGAATTTTGATGCGGTTTTTTTTAATAGATAGAGTGATTCTTAAGGAAGGTTTGTATGTATATACATATTGCACCCGTGCGAAGCCGGGGCGGGTCGCTAGTAATAGTATAAGATTTTCTTCTTCTTTCAGTACCTTCAGAAGAACCGCTGCAAGTCCGAGTGCTGGGCACGAGGCAGCTGCCGTGGCTGCACCAGAACCTGACGCTGGTGCCGTGGACGTCCACCACCATCGCCATTAATGCTCCCGACGGCGGGTGAGGTTCTGTTGTCGCCAAACAGACGAGCAACTTTATTAGGCTTTTTAAGTTAATTAGACTTTTTTCTGTGTAAGAAGATGTATTTACCTCTATTTAAGTGTTATTTATTACATAGCCCTTGACAAAAGGTGACTTCATCTAAGTCACGATTTAATTCTAATTCTAAACCTAATTTTAAAGTTGGATTTAAGATGATGAATAATAGCTTACCCAGAAGAGGCTACATTTGGTAATTGTCTCCACAATGTCAGTTCTGACTTTCGTATAAGAACAGAAGACAGTATTTATCCACTCCCAACCTACCTTAGATCTTACCTAAATTAGCTCGCTTACGCACAAGTGGTTGACCGCCTAGGCGGATCATTTGAGCGGTTCAATCGCTTAACGGGACTTCATCACGATCATAGCGATTGGCCACCATAACAGTTAGCAGAGCATATTAAACTGAAAAAGCACCACCGCCTACGCGTTAAACCGCTTATGCCTAAGGAGGCTTAGGGTCAGCACATACAGACAAGCGATGCGTCACGATTCAAAAAATACGATTTTTTAAATGAATAATAAAATTCTGGTCACCATCAGAGAGGTGACTGCGGTTCCTGAGGATGTAGAAGTGACGAACGTTCGTCCGCGGGAGTTCACGGTGCGGTGGCGCTGCGAGGAGTCGGAGCTGTCGCTGGAGACCTACACCTACATGGTGTGCATCAGGAAGGTGGATGGGAATGAGGAGTGCATGGAGAGGTTTGTGGCTTTTTTAATTTCGTCCTTAGTCTCTAATGTAGGACGGGTATCTTTGTTGTGCTTATGACCTTATGATCGTTTGATTAGTATAATAGTGTGCAGGTAATTTAGACAGATTAAAAACATCGCCAAAACTTCAAAACTTTACTTAAGTGCTCAAGTGGTCGAAAATGAGTTGTTGATGAAATTTTCTACGTTTTTAAACTCCGTAATAACCAACATTTACCTTCTGTCAGGCGCGAAAAGAAAACAGCGCTTAAATAGTATAATATTAGTATTTTAAACAATGTTTAAATACCTTTTAGATCTAGTAAATGAAATAATTGATTTATTTTAGATTTTATTCCTCTAACCTAAACACATATTTCTTCCTACAGTCGCAGCAAGTCAATACGCATAGACAAGTTGTCCCCGAGTACGGAGTACGAAGTTCGAGTCCAGGCTCGCATACCAGCGCGGATGGCCGTCGGAGAGTTCTCCACACCTGTACATATTTGGACACAGGGCGAGGGTGAGTTGTCACATACTTTTATGATACGGCTGATCTCTCTCTGGTCGCATCGGTCTTCCGTCCCACCGGGTTCCCAGAGTAAGGGAACAGACAGTGCTCTTGTGTTTGCGCACATATTTGTGCACTATCATATCTCCTGTGTGGTTGCTTAGATAGACTGACCACCATGATCGAAATCGATTGCAATATTTATCCCATAAATTACTACTAAAAAACATTATATTTGAGGAAATTATTATTATTATCTTTATTCACATTAGCGGCCTATAAGCGGCCACTGCTAATCAATGGCCCACACAGAGAAGGCTTGAGCTTAGTCAAAGTCACAGTCAAAATCTTTCATTTCAATTAGACCAGGAAGGCACTTTTGAACGTCAGCGTAAAAGTGAAGCTATTTGCTCATTCCAAGGTGTAGATTCCTATGGAGAAGAACGAGCAAGAAACTCCATAGGTTACTCTTTTTCAATCAGGTTCACAATACAGTTCTCCAGTTACACAGTTCTTAATCATCACGGTTAATGCGGATTGGCGATTTAAAACTTATAATTAGAAATTATAAGCCTAAGTTTCCTCACGATGGTTTTCTTCAATACTGTCAATGGTGTCTAAATAATCTTTATTAATTGCTGAACAAAACCAACTAATATTATACATTCCCAGGAACAGATCGCTTCCAAGACCTGACGTACAAGATGATGAACACGTCCACTCTCCGTGTCTCTTGGAACAGTGTCCCTGACAAGTATACCATCCAGTACAGCAATGAACTGACTCTGCCTCTCCACCAATGGACCAGTGTTGATACCGTGGGCAATACCGTTTTGGTAAGTAATTTTGAACCTTTTTTTTTAAGTTTTAGAGTTTAGTTTGGAAATTAAATAGTGAGAATTATTGTTTGTGTGCTCACTAGATGTCGCTATGTTTGGGGTTTTGCTTAACCAATCACAATTGTTGTAGCAGTAAAAATTAAATGTCTAATGGTTTTTGTTAATGTATAGTACATTCTCTATCTAACAACATAATTTAGTTCGCAATAACGCATATTACAGCAAATTCGTAGTACTCATTAAGAGCGCTGTTACATACTGTACTTTATTTCTATTGGTTGTAAGATTGATTTTCGATTCTAAATGGTTTTGTATTATTCCAGTTGACTGGCGTGGACCTGACCAAGGAGTTGTACGTGATGGTGACGGGATACGAACCTCTTGGGCGCAGCCAGATCCTGAAGATACCTGCACTAGTGCCTGGTAAGTCATTCCAACTTAACCTTTGATTCTGTTGTCACCATTAGCAGTTAACAGAACAAGCTCTAGGGTTGATGTGGTCGCCGACAACCAATTTCGTCGCGCGACCGTCTAGTCTATTAATTTACCTATGATGAATATGGATACTGATAAAGTTTGTCTTTAGATGCATTCACACATACCGGTCTCCGTGACGTCACGTCACCGGTACGTCAATTATCGGTGACGTCACTGGTCAGGCACGTCTTGGGTCCCCACACTTGGGATCGTCACGTTGTGGTTCAGTCAGCGTCATGCTACCGTCATTGCTACACAAACTTAATCAGTGTTTAACTGATGTTAACTAAAAATTACGATTTACTTACGCGAATATTCTAACAAAAGCTCTATTAGTTTCGAGTTACAGCGGGACTTTGCCTTATAAGCGGGCGCGGCGATGACGCGCAGCCTACTGGTGTGAATGCTCGAAATTAGTAGAGTATTTCTCATTATATTTATGTAACTCGTAATTTTTAGTTAATTCGGTATATGCCACGATAGTTATTATAAAGACATGACTGTTGATAGCGTCCCCTGATTCAGTCAAACCGACTCCGTGTCTGACGAGCGATGGGGCAGTGACTGGTGGTTGTGGATACGTACACAAGCCGTCACCGAACGGTCGCGTCGTCGGGGACTTGACGGTGATTGTGTGAGAATGCAACTTAAAGGATCGTAACTTACGTATCGTGTGAAAATCGTCATTTTTTATGGCATAAGCCGGTACACGAGCAGACGGATCACCTGATGGTAAGCAATCGGCGTCGGCCATGGACACCTGGAACACCAGAGGCGTTACAAGTGCGTTACCGGCTTTTTGGGGATTAGGAGTTTGAGGATCGTTGGGGATTCAGGGATTGGAGAGATTGGGGAAGGGGAGGGTAATTACGCCTCCGGTAACCTCACTCACACGACGAAACACAACGCAAGCGTTGCTTTACGTCGGTTTTCGGTTGTCATTGAAGTACCTATATAATGCTGATTTATGTTTTCATTTTACTTTCAAGAAGCCAAGGATTTGCAGTACTGGTACACCCCGACGGGCGTGCAGGTGACCTGGAAGGGGCAGGGTCCACGCATGGTGCGATACTCGCAGAACCTCACTCAGTCGCTGGACCTCTGGCTTACCATCAACGTCACCACTAACAGCGTACATGTGAGTACGATTATGATTCTTATTTGTTTTTTTTCCATAGGAACATCTTTAATGGATCGAAAAATATCATGTCCTGACACATGCATATTTTTATTTTTGGTCAATTCCGGTTGAAGTACTTAATTAGTAGGATGTTGGATGATCCTGTTAGTATTATTTTTTTAAATACACTAGCTTCTGCCCGCGGCTTCGTACGCGCAATCCCATTCGTTTCGCCCATTCTCGTGGGATTTTCAGGACTTTTTTCTGTCATAAGAACCTTCCCCTGAAGATAACAAACACAACCAAAAAAAAATCAGACAAATCAGTCCAGCCGTTCTAAAGTTATGGCGTGACAATGGGAAACGGGTTTCATTTTTATATATATAGATAACGTAACATCACGCCTTTTATCCCCAAAAATAGTTAGCAAATCTACAATACAGTACGTTTCACCAGTTGTTTATATAAAAAAGATGAAAAATAATCTCTCTATTATTTCAGATCTCAGGCCTCGAACCTGAGCAATCAACGTACGTGATGGTGATACTTCCAGGGCCTAACCCTCGCAGTCAAGTGCTGACCATTCCACCGCGGCCACCAGACCAGTCGCAATACTATCTGAGTACATTTCTTTCTTATTTACCATAAGTATAATATTTTTAAGCTTTTTTGCCTCTTATTGTAGTGTTTACTGTTTTATCGCCATGGTCGGCTTTACACGACAAACAAAAACTGGGCTAATTCACCACTGTCGGCCGTAGATTACAAGAACACGTCATTTTTAAGTACTTTTTGTTTCTTGTCTATAGCCGAACATGGCGGTAAAAGGTTAAGTAATTATTAAACTTTTTCTTAATATGTCTTGTGCTTTTTTTTCTTCATTCTTCTTTTTGTGCCTTTTTCTTAATTTTTATGCTATTTCTTGGTTATTTTAACTATGATATAGTAACAGGGTGATGTTCTATACCTGTTGCTTAGCTACAAAGCTTTTTATTGTGCCTTGGTATCAAAATAATGAGACCTCCCTCCTACGCACTAGCGGTTAACCGCGCGGCTAGCCGCACCACGCGGTTGGCTGTTTTTCCAATTAAATTTGCAACCGCAATGCAACCTCTATGGCAACTGCGTCTGGCGATATGAACCACCTAGGCGGTCTACCGCTAGTGCGTAATGAGTGGGTCCATATCTGACGACAGCTCCGCGAATGCGCAGCTCTCGAACTACCCGCGAGCTGTGTGCGTGCATTTTAAATTATTATGTATACGAACCTTGTATGAGTTGAGCACCAAACCACTGCCGCGACTGCACGGCTCGCGAGCGGCACCTTCGCCAGATGCGGCCGCACTCTAAGCTCGAGGCGCCATTTGTTCATTGCGCTGCGTTGCGTCGTCACAGCGTCGTTTTCCATATATGTTTTATGACATTCCCCATTACATCGTTGCGACGACGCGATGCAACGCAGCGCAACTGACAAATGGGGCCTCGCTCTAAGGAGGCAGTGTAGCTCAACGCTTCTTACACTTTCTATTGTAGTGTATAAATCTGTGGCTTTTTTTCCCTTTTTATTGTGTTTGTTTGCTTTTTCTTAGTTAATAAAGGTGATTGGGTATTATGGGTAATTTTGAGTATGATTTCGACCATATTTATATACCTGCTTTTTATTGCTTATCAGTATTATTACATCGTGTGTCGTAAATATGAAATAATACGTTCAGTATGTAAAAGTAGTGATGTTACAAATCTATTGCACCTGTAATAAGTTACGCATGTGTAACGATTTTATATTTATTTAGCTTCAAAGATTAGAGTGAAAATTTTCCGCTGTTGATAATATTCCCGTGATAAGGCTTCTAGGGGGTGCGGCCTACTAGCTAATCCTGCTGTAGCTGTGTATGTAGGTTAGGATTCTCGTTAAAATGATATTATTTTTGTTATGGAAAAAAGTAAAATAGACATCACGTCTTTTATCCTTTAAGGTTGTACTTACGGCTCTTAATGCCACTACAATGTAACACTCACTTTTCACTATTTATGTTATGAGTCCGATGTAATAGGGGCTGAGCCTATTGCCATTTACCTGACACAATTTCAAACTCCGCCCGACCTGGGCCGAACCCGAGACCCCTTGCCCGGTCGGACAAGGGGCCCAGTCGCACTTGCGACCACTCGGCCAACAAGGCAGAAAAAAAGTTTTGTATTTGAAACTTTTGACTAGGCCAAGTTAAAGTCTATGAGTAAGTCTATTATTTCATATTTATGCGTACAATGTTACAACGCATTGTTCCGTTGCGACGACGCGGCGCAACGCAGCGCAACGGACAAATGGAGCCTCGCCCTTATTGTCGAGATTTGGAATTCAGCCGCATTTTCACTAGTAGGATCATCTTCACACTTTCTCACATTAGTTCCGCGACTCTGTCGCTCAACAGGAAATTCACGGGTCGCGCAACTTGTCGCTAGTCAATGCTCTGCGAGCGTAACCACGCGCGATTGCGTGTCCCTCGACAGTCGTCGGATAGGCATTCAGTAGTGAGAACGTATGTCACTTTGTGTTCGGGAAATAGCAGTAGTGTGGTCCAACGAGAATATTGACTCCTCCTCCGGCGACATACTGATCACAACTGGCCAATATGAACAAGTAAAATGTCGAGCGACATTGTCCCACAAAGATGCACACGAATGTTGCGCGATATGTCTGTGCGACATCTCCCAGTGAAAACGTGGCTTTAAGATTGAAAACGGATAAGTAGTGTTTAAGAAAAGAAGGGTAGATAAAGTACTCATAATGATAGGATTTTATTTACCTTGCAATGTATTGTATGTATGTGTGTGTGAAGTGGAATCCTGCAACTTTTGAAGCAGATATCTTCAACTGATTGAGCTGAAATTTTGTATAGGTATACGTTTAGTTTATATGATCATAAATACTTAACTGCATAAAATATTGTTTTTAAAAAGTTTGATAATTTAAATTAAAATAATAATTATTATTATTTATTTTTATCGCAGGTATTGGCATTGGTTGTGGAGTGGTTCTGATCTGCGTGCTGGCGGCTGCGGCAGTATGCATATGGAGACGGAGGAAGAGGTCGCATTCTCCTGTCAGGTATGTCTCCAAAATACAAAAATCAATAATAGTTTTCTTAAAATTGTGACGTAAAAATGTTGAGCAGTTAATCAACGTAGACCAGTATTTCAAGTATCAGTATATTTTCCTGATTACACCGTCCTTGGTCTTTGCCCAGCAGTGGGAGTGGAATTGTAACAGGCTAACACAATGAATGATGAAGTATGTATAGCAACAATCTACTTACCACTAAATATATTACATGGGACTCTTTCATAACTGGTGAAAATCTTAATCGAAATATTGATACTGAACATTTTCGAAATATAAAACACATTGCAGTACGCTTCACAAATAATACCACTAAAAATCTTTTACTATTTATAAAAATAATGTAATTTAACAAACGTCCCAGGTCCCGCAGACGCAACCTATCGTCAAATGACGGCAACGAAGAAGAGGGCGCAGAAATGAAGGTATGTACCTAGCAGGTACTTGGTACTATATCCCCTTTTACCCAGAGTCGTGGGCAGAGTCTAAGAAGTTGTGTCGTATGTGCAGAACATCGGTAACCGCCTCGCCAACGGAGGAGGATCCAAGGACGCTGGAGAACCTCTACTCAACGGTCACGTTCATATTACTGAGAATCCTAACGTAAGTATTTTGTTATCGGATTTGTATGTTTGACGTTGGGAGCTATGAGGTTCATTCGTGAATGAAGTTCTAGTTATGTTCTTAGATATTGACAAGTCCCTCGTGAATGGGACTTATAATACAGCTGGTAAAACTGAAAACAGTAACCTTCACCTAGTTCTGTAGAGACAAAGAGACATGATGTGATGTTATGGTACCTAAGTAATATAATTACATTGTAATGGGGATACCTGAATCCCTTTTTGTTTTCTCTGTAACTATTTTGCTAACTGCATGAATAGAATATATAATTCCATGTCATTCTCTGTAAAACAATTTATAAAAATGAATTATTGTGTCTAACCTGAAGTTATCATTGACAGCAGTCGAAGACGCCGAACGGTCGCATGCGCAAGGGCCGTCGCTACGAGGCTGCGTTCGACGTGGCTCGCTACGAGGACCCCGACACCACCCTGGAGACAGTCCTCGACCCCGACACCTCCGCCTCCACCACCTTCAACCTCCTCGACACCTCCCGGAGGCCGGAGTACGATGTGTCGCGGTCCTCCAGGGACCTCAGTGCTAACAACTCGTTCAACAAACTCCCAGACGACAACATGAACTCCGAACTCACGCGAAGCACCGACTTCCAACTAGACAACAGCAAAATTCTCCCCACGCTCCAACCTAACGGTTGAGAACCCCCCACCCTCCCGATAAGCAAGAACTACACTAGGGGTAGGCGGCCCCTGAGATCTGGTATCCTTCGATACCGATTTCTCGCGTCAATTCGAATGGTGTGCTATTTATAAGTCAAGGATTGAGATTGTGTACAGACAAAAATGTTTTTTTTACTAGTTGCTCGTTAGACACAGTAAAATGGATATACGACTAAAATAAGGAAGGGTAATACTTAAAGTTTTTAATAGATAATAATGAGGCTTAAAATAGTCCGAATGATACGGGTTCGCGCGAGGATAGCTTATCGTGTTTCGTTCCTAACGTTAGAATTTATTTTTAATGATTGTAAGGCTGATATTATTTTGGTAAACAATAGTACGGGTAAATAATTTAAGTGTTAAAAATGGATTCAGGTCGGAAGTAACTGTTGTTCAATAGCACGTGAAGTTATTCTCGCCTAATCTGTTCGTAACTTCGCCGTAGTGAAGGATCACCCTCTAATGATTGTTACTATGTATATTATTATATAACGTTTTTATTGCCGATTTTACGGCAACACGCACTTGTAAATAGCGTTGTTCGTTTACGGCCTGAGATTAAATGCGCCCGACAATAATGTAGGAATGGCGCGTACGCACGTGACCGCAGGTCTGCGCCGGCGCGCCTCCCGCCGCGCGGCCGCGGGTCGTGGATATAAACAGTGCCTCTTTGAAGTACACACTGGTTCATAAGTCATACAAATAGATTCACCGTTAGTGCAACATAATCGTACAAAATATAGACCAAAATAATTCCAAACACATTGAAATTCGCGTGTACATAACATAGAACAAAAAATATTTATCCATGTTGAAAATATGATAATTACTTTACATAAACTACTAAATATTTATTATTTTCTGATTATTATTTCACACAGTAAATAGACAAAGCCTCAGATGCTAGTATTCTTCACAATTTACATTCCAGATTTTGTTTTAAATATATATATTTGTCACATATTTTAATAACAATAATACAAATGCACAGGTTTTTATATATCACTGTTATAGTTTGTTTTAGCAGTTTTATGATTCACAAAATTCTAGATACCTACTTAAAACCTAAGAAATCAAGTAGATAGATTAAAAAAGTAAATTTAAAGTATAAAGTATATATATAATGATAAAGTAATAATATATTACAACGAACTATAACTATTATAAATTGAAAATAGTTTATTAAAGCACGCGTTATCGTTATAAAAAGTTACTAAAAAAGTTATTGCACATTTCCCCCTCTTTTTTTGAAACTGGAACATGTTTAGCTTACGTTTTGCCACTGGTGGTCATGCCACTATTTCACATTTATAAAATATACCCAATTATTTTATACGTTACAGTTATTGCAGTTTGTTAAAAACTTAAACTGGTTTTATTTAGCATCAAATACAACTGTTCTTTAACTACAATAATGTAAAATATATAATGTTGTTTGAAATGTACCCACTTTCAGATAACGTAATGAAAGTTCCCGCCTAATTAGCACAACTTAAAATTCAGTTTTATTATTAGAATATATTTATAATAATATTAAAGTGCCTATTATTAGCGGTATAACCTGCAATACTTAATTAACTTTGCGCTTTTTAAAACATTATTTATTAATTAAATTTAAAAAAGAAGACTGACGTGGCCAAATGTTGTAGTGACGTAAGCTAAACGTGTTCTGCCACGGCGGACATGTTTGTGTAAATGTCAAATTATGTTCGCCGACCATTATTCCATATCACAATTTGTATCTACCTCATTTTATTCGTTTTAAGATTAATTTAGATGTTATTCGAAAATGTTTAATGTTGAAGATCGATTAAGTTTTCTTCGATAACCCATCGATGAGGTTGAATGGCACTTACTGCATAGATTTAGTGGTGTTTTTTTATTTATTTATTATTAGGACCGTAAGTATTTCACTGATAATTTGTAATGTATTTTTTTATTTTTCTTCAGTTTTTTTTTATTTAAGGTAGTGTTAGTGGACGGTTATTGGTCGATGTTATGCAGGTTATCCTTTTATTAGTTTAAAAAAAATATATTGACAATCTCAAGGTAGATTACTTAATGGTAATGTGATTTGATGGTAAGACAATAAAAATTAACAATAACGGAAATAGTTATAGGACAGATAATAAAGTGGTTGTTACAGATTACAGATGAAAATGAATAAACAGATAATCTAATAACATCGACCAACAATAAGGTATTAGAAAAGTTACGGCAGTACCTTGAATAGCACATTTTTGGTTTCTATTTGTGTACAAAAATCTTGACTGATTTTGTTTATCGCACTAAAATCAGGCGCCTATCTTCGAGTATAAAGTATATATTTAGTACCTATTTATATTTCTTGAGTAAAAGCACCTAGGTACAATTTATTAAACGGTAAGGACTGGCGAACGTGGCGTACATTAAGTCAAAAAATAAAAAAGAAATTAAATTTGAAAATTTTCACGAAATTGTATAAATTTTTCTCTTTAATAATATTAAATTTAGGGCATTTTTACGTCTAAATAAATTTATTTTTTGACTTATTATGGCACCCGGTCGCCATTGTAAATAATATTATAAAATATAAAAAAAACTCAGTTTAAAATTAAATTGAAAGGAAAACGCCGACTATGTACCTGAAAAAATTCAATTACACTAAGTTAGCTAGACTTAGGTGTAGTTTTAGATCTTTAAACAAATCTAGAATTTTATCTTTGACGCTAGGTTTTGTCACAGGGTCTAAGCTTCGATTCTGAATAGTTTCAATGGAGTATGCGCTACTTTTTTCCTTGGTTTTAGCAGAAAATTAGTGCATCTTTTGTATTTTTTCAACGTTTCTTCTTGGGCTCGACGTAGTGCGCTGGTTTTGTTTTTTTTTTCTAATATATTACACATGTTTTTTTTCTCCCAGTATTGTTATATTGCGTGTCCGAATTTCGCTGTTGTCTTAAAGTATTTAATACGTATTACCATTACACGACACAACTGTTCAAAAGTACCTACAGCAGTCTAAAGGACCATTTAGAGCCAAAAATGAATAAAAACACAATTTATTTAATCGCCTATTTCCATTATAAAATAAGTAAGTTGAATAAAAAAGATGATAAAATTACATTAAAAAATACAAATGCTTCGGTGACTATTTTTAATAAAATAAAAATAACGATTCAATGTTTTCTATGATATAATAAAGATAATAAATTAATGACTTCTATAACTATAACACCAAACATATTTTTCTTAAAATTTGAATTAACATGAGAAGTAATAGTTACTGTGTCGTAAGGAGATAAATTTTATGAAGAATAACAGTTTTTCTAAGGAAATAAGCGTTGCATTTTTAAGAAATATAGATTAAAAACTATGTCAGATAGTATTTGCTACCTACTCTTAAATGAAAATAATAATATAAATATAAATAACGCATTTGATTTTATACAAGAAAATAGGTTAAACTTTGAATGTTCAAAAATACCGTAGTTATATAATAATAAGAATTATAATTTCTACCATAAGATTACCGCGTAGTTAACAAGTTAATGTAACTTATTTTTTATTTTATTTTTTTATTCAATAATTATGGATTTTTCAAGTTCACTCGTGGTTGTGTTAAGAAATAATTTGGCCACTGTAACTGTATTACTGAAACTGTTGGATTATTATAATTTTTCTATTATTATTATTATTGATAATTATTGTATTGTGAAACCAAAACAATTTAATCGTCAACGCAATAACAGATACCTGAATGATGTACAATGTTTTTTGTAATTTATTTATAAAACAGTAGTGCATGCATTTATAAATATGTTGTAAACTTATTTGTTTGGTCTATTTATTGGTTAAATATTATTTGATTAAATTAATTACCTACTGGACTTTAAACAATTGAAAATTGTTAGTATCCGCCTTTCAACTGATTCTTGTTTTGTTTTGAATAAAATTTGATATTGTCAACTATAAAAAATCCCATATCGCACAACTGACTTATTTTCCAATATGTTCTAGTAAATAGACCAGAAAAATAACTACGATGAATAGGATTAAGGTAAACCTACAATAGTTGTTCCCATATTACGCTGATATTGATTTTAATGTTGTTTCTATACAGTTTTTTTAAACGTTTTTACATTGGCTTGTCCGTCCTTGGAGTGAAAAAAAAATAAGAAAATAATAATTATAAGCCTGATGTTGTGCCTCTGATGATAATTTTGAATCTCATTTCGCAATATATTAATTGTAAACTGTATTGCGGGGATGGTTTGAAAAAAAAAAGCTTCGAAAAATAATACAAAACAATGACTTTTTTTGTTCGTCTTCATGTCACGTCACGATTTTTCAATCAGAAAAATAATAACTAGTTTTGTCGTTAAATTGCATTGTTAAGTAAAGTTAGTAACCATCCCCCAACCGATAATTCTTGTTTTCATTATCCCATAATCAGTGTTCATATTTTCCACATGATTTTCTTTATCAAAGCGGGTATTCCATTCCACTATATTTATTACAATAGACATATATACATTATTTCTACTAACGCACATTCCATATTGACTGCAATAGTTTCATACCTACCATACAGATTTTTTACATTGTAAATACAATTTTTTCTTGTTTTTTTTTATTAATTATTATTTTATTTTTTAACTATATATACAAATGTAAGGTTACATTTTACCTTTAAGCGACGTTGCAAACTACGATACCTATTGTATAGCCGACCAATTTGTTACAAACTATTATTAATAGTACTCGGTAATAAGCAATAATGTTATTAATTGACCACGTTGTTCCATCACTGTATTTTTGTACAATCTGTTGTTATGTGTAGACGTTTTTTATATGGTACACCGTCAGCAATATTTTACTCATGTTAATTGTTTTAACATTCAAGGTTTGACAAGTGATTAAATTCATATTTGATTAAATTCAATCGAATTTTTGTTATACCCAATTTCAGATGTTTTTTTTAATATAGAGACTGTTATTTGTATTTATAAAGTATTCGTTACCAAAATATTGCTTAATTATTGCTGATGTGTGCTATTGTGTAAAAACCTTATAATGTTACACAGGAAACAAAATGTCACAGATTCAAAAATAATATACGTGATACATCTGAAATTTTAAAGCAATAGAATAGTTAATATTTGTTGTATATACAGACGTATATATATTATATACCTGTTGAAGATCATTTGTTCAAAATTATTTAAAGTTTTACAGTCCAAGCGCAATTTCGATTTTATTTTGACGTTTTTCAAATAGTACTAAGACTCAGTACCTATAGTTGTGGCGTTGATTTTGTAGCATGTACTTAGTGGAACGCGTCCAAAATATATATTTAATATATAGTATATATATAATTTTAAACATAGTTCGATGTCTAACACGAGTTGGTTTAAGTTTTTGTGAATTTAAGCTTGATTTTTTTGTTCCCTTTCTTTATTCAAATTGCATGTTATTGGTTTTCTTTGCGACGATAAAAAATAATTTATTAACTGTTAATGTGGTTTAAAAAACCTTTAGTCCTCTTCTACTTTTTTAATGTTAAATGTCAGGGGACCAACCTCTGTAGTATTTTTCTTAAAAGTTATTAACGTTTAGTGTTTCCGCAAATTGGTTTTTGTAACGACTTTTTCTCGTTTGCAAAGTTTTGACTTCTGCTCGAAGAAATCTCTATTTCTCGCTTTTGGACTTCTATATACTTTTAGCAAGACACATTGTTGATGTAGTAGATGTATCATTGTGTTATCTTGCTAATGAAATAATATTTTTTTTAATTAAGAGCTTACCTAAACATTCTACCATCCAATAATTTTATTACTTTCATTGTTACTACAAAGATGTTTCATTATGTAAGAATTATTGTATTTAATTTATATAATTACGAATTTATGAAATTCTAAAATTATTGTATTTTACGTGTAAATAATAATTTGATTAAGTGTATTTCATTGGCAAGACTAGGGCAGTAGTTTTGTGAATTCGTTGCAAAGCACCAATAGCATTTTCTACAGGAGATAACATAAGGAGTTGTTGTATATTAATATTATACAAGTTTAAAAATTTAAAGACCATTGTGGTGGCTCAATTTCGATATAAGTACCTATTGATGAAAGCCACAACCCGTGCTTGTAAGTCAAATATTTTGTATATACCGAAAAATTGGGATAATTTAATAATTGTACTAAATAAAAATTACCAATACTTTTTTGTGTAATAAAAAAAATATTTCTTATTTTATAATGTAGTGACTCTAAATTTTGTCTCGTGTAAAATTAAAATATCCCAGGTTTTCGTTTAAATGAAATCGTAAAGTAAGGGATTTTCAAAATATATTGTGGGGGCATGATAGAGATATTGCACTATTTGATTTTAAAGATTAATGAATGTTATGAATTCCTGTACCTACCTTTAAAAATGTTAAAGTAAGATATTTTGAGACTAGCAACATTACGCCTCGCATTGTTGACGGGCTACAAAAATGGCGCCAATAAAACGGCGCTAACATTACCTTTGTAAACTTTGACCCTCGCCGTTGTAACTTCCACCATGTTAAGTCATGTGCCCACAAAACAAAAAAGTTAGTTATTTAAAAAATATAACTGAATCTACCTCAACCAAATTACCCATTAATATTGTTTATAAGTGTTCTTTTGAGTCTTATTATTACTAATAAATAACTGAAACGTAGTGTTTTTATAATAAATGCTATTAGTTCGAGCATCCACCTTTTGATATGGTAATTATTGTTACCGAACTATTGAATGCGGACGTCGGACTGTTAACACGGTATTGTACGAAACGATATTAAATTTGAAAATAAAGTATGGCTAAAATTGTTTTATTTTTATTTATCAACCTTCAGATGAACCTCCAATATCGACCTGTTTCTTTGAAAATTACTTTAATGGTCTTGACTTTATTGTCTAACACGAATGCTAATTTGACCATTTGTGCTAGAAGCTAGAAGCCAAATGCCTTATAAGCGGTAAGTAAGCGGTGTAAGCGTTACGTAAAATATTGTTTTACGTATTCTCTCACTCGACTAATTCTTAATGCATTTTGATTCATGGCACAGAATATATCTACTGTAAAAACGAATTAAATGGATAATGAACGGTGGGTATAATTGCAAGAGAAAAACATTTAAAAAAACATGCGCAGTGGTAAATGATGGACAGCATCAGGTTACTGGTTAGTTAGCTTCCAGGAGTCCAGTCAAAATAAAATACAAAGTACAATGCGTACAGTATAATGTATATTTTAATGTTTATTGATGAGCTGGACTAGCAGACTTTGGCGGCAGAGACGGGATACTGCACCGCCCTCGTCACGTCGCCGCAGTTTAGCTGCCAAGCGGGCCAGGCTGAATCGGGAGCGGGACCGACCTTCCCGACGGGAGCCTGGAACATAATATAAAACATGAATACATAGGTAAATGTTAAATTAAGAAAGGCTTCGTAAAGAGCCATTTCTCAGACTGTAGTTTCGGTTTACAATTCAGTTAGGCTTTGAGATAGATTCAGATTGAAATGAAAAAGAATGCTTAACTTTAACTCAGTTTGACTATTTTTAACACGTAATGTTAAATAAATTATTTATTTTTTATTCATGGTCGTTCAACTGCAGGGCAAAAGCGTCCCTACCTGTTAAATAAATGTTTAGTATAATTATCTAAACATTTATTTAAAAGTTTTCTTTAGTTAAATGCCTACTTAAATCTAGGAAGGCATATTTTGGCGCCATTAACTAATTTAATATTTTGATCATAACTTATTTACCTAAAATGATGTAATGTAAAAAGAATTAATAGTGATGTACCTTCAGCCACTCTTTGCCAAGCCTCTCTGTCCACGTTGACCATCCCCGTGGAAGCACTCCGGCCCAACGCCGCAGATTCCTGGGTGCTGGAGCCTTGGGATTCTGTGACGTCACTCTCGCAACTTATTCTACTCGACCTGAAACCATTACAGACACATAGTTTAGTTAGATGGAGTAAAGATTACAAAGTGGCTGGTTGTCACATGCATAGAGCTAAGGTGGTATGCTATTGGTAGAGGCTTGTGTCCACTAGTGGACATAGGCTGGTGATTACGATGACCAATATAATTTTAAAACCACTCACCTGTCTCCAGGCCTCAAATCGCTCGCAGAACTGGTACCTTCCCTCCTCATAGGCACCGTCGAAGCTAAAAACCTCTCCCTTGCAGCACGAATCTTCGCAGCTCTTTCAGACAACGTGGCTGCTGCAGCTTCGTAATCCTGGAAATTACTAGTTTCCACGGTAGATATAGACCTCCCGAATAGCCCTGGTTCACCAGACATGTAGCTGCTGAATGTAGGGACTGTGACATCAGATACATGTCTCAAAGCTGGCAGAGATTCAGCAGTTGATGAGGTTTCTGGCTGAATTCTTGGGTTTGGTACTATAGTGTCAGTACTAGCTGTGGGCATTATTGTTTCTTGACTGTCTTCCTTCTTGTTACTTGAAGTGTCAGCTATATCTCTGCCTGTTTTCTCTGGGTGTAAGGCATTAGCACTATGGGATTTTAAAACACCATCTAGTCCTGCTGCAGGTGCTGGTGTCAGGCGCTTCTCCGCTGAAGTAGCATCGCGTCTGGACAGTTGACAGGCGCTCGCTGATTTTTGGACTTCCCTCTCGAGGAATGGGTTATTTCTGAAAAGAGTTGAAATTATCATTGTAAAATATTTTACAAATTCAATCGATAATGGCAATAGAAAGTTCAGTTACCTGATGTTTACACCCACAGGCATATCGGGAGGTCTTCGACGTTCAGTGGAGGGTGATCTCCAGGCCGGTGAAGATGCTCCACTGCTGACTGGCGATGTATGTCCTGAAATATTATCATCCATTTATCGATCATTAGGTTCAATTTCACCTTTTAAATGTAAATTGTTTGCCGTTTGAATGTAGATTTTTGAGACACCAATTACAGATAACATTTATTTTAAATTCTTACCTTCCTCATTGATCTTCTTATTGTAACGCTGTATCATAATCCGGATGGACGGTGCGGTTTCTTTTGGAGGCTGTGGCTTTCTTTGTGATGAAGGTGAAGATGGCAGTGGTGGCCTGGTCCTCTTCTTCAACTCTTCAGCCTCTTGCAGGTCACCAGAACTTTTGGAACGTGTAGTCTTTTCTGGTTTAACCTTTTCTGATTTGGTCTCTTTCTTCTTTCCTTCATTTCGATGTTCTAAAGGCCTGACTTCAGCAAGATCTTCAACGTTTACTGGTATTACAGCCCTGGGTACGGACTCTCCACTACGAACTACTGGAGAGAATATTTTGCGAGTGGTTTTCACAATGACTTCTGGAGAATGGTCACGTTGTTCTGGTGCTTTTAGTTTGAGGACGAATATCTGGAAATTAATTGAGACAATTTTAAATGTGTTCAATGCGTCGGACACTACATTTATGGTTTTCGAAATATACTTACTTCACCCTCAGAATCTGAGTGCAGTGAAGTTGGAGGTGTTCTAGGCTTCTCAGATGCACGTCGTGGTCGTTTTCTTCTTCTCGGTATCTCCACTGTTACAGTATCGACCTCAAGTTCCGTGTCACTTTCTGAAGGCTTCGACTGCTCCCTCTCTAGCCTGGCTCTACATTTAGTTTTCTTTTTACCATTAGTTTTTTCTGAATCTTTCTTTTTGCTATCATCTTTGGATTCTTCAATACTATCTCTATCTTTGGCATCAATAATTCTTTCTTTATCATTATCTTTTTGTTTATTGACTTTTGGACTATAATCTCTGTCTATTTCTTTTCTTTGTAAAACTGGTGAGATCCTCTCGGGACTTTTGTGACGAGTTTCATTATCAGTGGCTTCTCTTTCTCTAAAGCGACTAGAACTTCCTCTTTCTATTTCTTCTATAGTTTTTCTGATGAACATGGCATCTTCTTCTATGCTCGGTTGTCTCATGATCTTCCTTCTGCCCTTCTCTGAGTGTTTGTTCTGTAATGTTATTTACTTATGAAGGATTGAGACTGAGTTTTCGAAACAACGAGAAATGTGTGTGTTACCTGTTCTCGAGTTTTTGGTCTCGCACCAGATGACTCCTTTGACTTCACGCTACGGGCATCGGATAAGATCACTAGAAAATTTCAGTTGTATATTACATTTGGTATTTAGAACAATTAAAATAATATAAAAAGTAAGTAAATTATATACCAGCTCCATTTGGCTGTAGAACAGCAGTTCCTGTGACTGCAGAGCTAGTTTCACACAGCAACCTAGCTTCAGCCTGTCCGTAAGTGTAGACAGGTTTCTGAGGAGTATGGCGAGGAGACACAGCAACCAAGGGAGCTGCTGTACAGATTTCTTCATCTTCCACTTCTACAAGAACAGCTCCTCGGGTCTCTGGACCATCACAATCGTCAAGGCCATCAAGCTGAGAAAAAGAAGATGAAAATTTGTAAAAATTTCACGTCACCTGCATCGCATTTCTGCTAACGCTTTGGAAAATAAAAGGCATTAATGTTTTTGTAATTACATTTGTATGTTTAACTTTTTAATACTCACAGAATGTTCCCTCTCATACTCTGAATCGAAATCATCAGCATCGTTGACACTGAGACTTGAAGCATGGAGTCTACCGGATCCAGCAGTTGATGGAGCCACGCTTCCATCAGACTGGGTCCTGGTGAGAGGTGCCTGGGGAACTTTGCTGGTGCGGGCCTTTGCTGCTCGAAGGAGAGCTGATGTGGAGGCTTCTGGAGCAATTCCACGAGACTTCTCCCATTCATGTAACTTGCGGGTGAATGATCGAGATATACCTGTAATGGATAATATGGTGGCGTTAGATTTCAGATTGTATGATTGTAATTAGAGTTTGTTTTGTATTAAATAAATCTGCAATTGGATTTCGACATACACCTAACACAATCACAATTTGCTACCTTGAAATTTAAAGAGTCCTGTAGACGTTTGTACCAGCACCTCATCAGGTTTAGCTTCCTCTTCCCAGGCTGGTACTGAATTCGTCTCCTTCATGCGTTTCCATTCGTCTGTGAAAATACACGACGTTTAGTTTCTTAAGCCTTTAACTGCCGACAAAAACTGTTAAAGGCTAATCCTCCGCTAGCGTCGGACAACATTGCCCGACACGGCAGCCAATGTGTTAAGAAATTATAGTGTTGGTTACTGGTGATGAACAGTAATTTTCGTTTAAATTTTTACCAAGATCTCTCATACTTACTTAGGTACTCACATCACTCAGCCCTTAGGAATGATTGCACAGTAATTGGATGTGTTAACGCATTCATTAATTTTCTTTATCTTACCCCATCTCTTTAGGAAGTCCTCGCTAAGATCCTGTCTGGCTGGGATGGGTAGTGGCTGCTTGACTCCCTTCTTAAGCTGCCACTCAGCAAGCTTCTTGCGGAAGTCTGCTGACAACTGCTCCTCGGTAGCCACAGGACGAGCGGCTGGAATTAAAATGGTTTATTTTTAAAAATTGACTATCCACTTATCAATAGTCCGTGGTAGTTCACAGACTAAGATCTTCCTTGACTCTAGAGGCTTTGCTATGACATCTAAGCATGGTAGTTGGTTTAAAGATTTTAGTTTAAAAGGTGTTCCAGCTACGCATGGTCTTGGGTCTTCTTTGATTTAACTTGAGACAAAAGTTGTCTTATTCTTATCTAGACTTCTATTTTAAAAACTCACCTGCGTACAGTTTCCCTCGCCTGTCTGAGAACTCTCTTCTCAATTTGGATTGGAGTGCTGCGTAGTCTCTTGCTATTTCCTCTCGTACTCCACTCGCCTCGCAGCCGCTACTGAGACCCTCTGTTTCTGGAATACATTCATCAATGTTAATACCTGTTCGTGATTATTATATCAGCTACAAATTGTTAAACGTCTGGTAATCACTGGTGTCCACCAATGATTACCAGATTGGCCGGTTGGAACTGAGCCCAGTTTTTCAATATTTTTTAGTTAAGTTACAATATCAATTACAATAATTCTGTTTGTGGAAATAGAGCTTTCACTAATTATATTATGACCAAAATGATGACCAATTGTAGGGGCTTTTGACCTTTAACCTTAAATTCAATGTAACCTATTTATAAAGAGGAAAGCTATAAAGATTAAAATATTACGTCTTGTCTTTGTATGGTCATTAAACATTTATTTGTCACGTTTACTCGTGTAATGTCAAATAGCAATGTGTACCAAAACAATACAGTCTAACATATTTCCGAAATGAAATTAAAATAACCATTTTTATAATTAACATGCACGTACGGTGGTAGAGAACCTAGATAAAACAAGACCATGTTAGTATTGCAAATGTTATAAATAATAGATATTCATTATATTGAAGATATTTTATAACCAATGAAGGTTTTTGTAAAGCAGATTTATATTTAAAACTTAGTGTATTGACGATATCCAAACAGTTTCTGGTGGATTATAAGGACCTAAAGATCAGGTTCAATCATATAGGTACCTACTACTACTAAAGAGAGAAGTGTTGATGAAGATAATGATATTAATAAATTTTGGTTGCAGGTGGCAGCTGGAACCAGACAAATGGTTACTGGCTATATTCTGTTTGTAATAGCCTTGATATTTATAATATACAGTGTGGTTAGTAACGTCCCAATTCCATTACCAATATTTATATACAATATTGTACCGAAGTGATTTATAGGGAAACCTCGTTTCATGGTGTAAATTTCCATGGAGAAAGACAGGCATGAAACTCCATGGCTTTTTACCCATTTTAACATAACATTAAGCCTTTTATCCCCGAAGGGGTAGGCAGAGGTGCACATTATACCATTGTACAATGTAACACCCACTTTTCACTATTTATGTTATGAGTCCCATGTAATAGGGGGTGAGCCTATTGCCATATACCGGGCACAATTCCAGACTCAGTAATATTTTGAGTGAGCAATAATTATGTTATAACACCGCTCAGTTCTCAGCACACAGTTCCATTAAACGGCAGGTATGGCGGGGCGAGTGTCGTTTCGCGTGCCGTCCGGAAATGTTCGAAGACGGCGGTCTTGGTGGCCGGAGCGGCATCTCCGGACTCGTCAGACGCCAAAGTCACCCTCATGCTGACTGTGTCTGCGGTCACTGCCCTTGCAAAGTCGTCGCAGAAGTTGTCAAGTATGTTATAACGTTATCCTATATTAATGTACTAGCTTTACGTGGATTTACCCACGTTCCCGGAATAAAATGTAGCCTGTGTTATTTTAGACTAAAATCTACCTTTATTCCAAAGTCTATTCCGATTCCTTTAATCCACACAAACTCACTTACAAACTTTCACATTTATAATATTAGTAGAATAAGAATAAGATCCTCCTGTTTCGTGTGTAAAAACCTTTAGGTACACGTTATACTAGATCAAGAACAGAAATTTGTGGATCATACAAAGGGGTTTTCTATGCTACAACATCATTTACAATAATCATTTTCCAATATTTGCAAAGAAACATTGATCACCACATTTTGTAAATGATTAATTAATACTAATTACACTTCCACAGGTCTTGTAGACCAATAATACAAATGTGTAACAACTCCATGGACGCCGTGAGCCAATACTGCAACAACTTCGCTGATGTGGTAAGCAAGAAAATAAATACTACAGTGACCCTTTTAGCTACATTTAAATCATCTTCGTCATAGCTAATAGCCATAAATCGTCCGCTGCTGACAGTAGCGTGTATACCTTTCGGGGCCCGTAGCAAAGTCCTCAGATGGGCCCCTGGTCCCGGTAAAATACAAAGTTCAGATGGAAACCTTTGAACGGCTTCCTCTTCCAACTGGGGGCCGGCTGTGGCATTTTGCCGATTCGTCACCCTTTAGTTACGCAAACAATTCAATGAAATAAGGGAACCGTACCGGTTTGTAGTTTAACGCCATCTAGTGTACGATATAGGTATTAAGTTTGGCTTTTTTGGAAGAGATCCAACCGAAGCGTTCGGTAATCTAAATGACCGGAGTTTAGAGTTCCCCGTGATGTATTTATGTTTACTTACTATCTATTGGTTATCTTCTAACGTGTAGAAGATATTTGCAGAATTGCTTTTATTTTTAATTAGAATACTATCCGTTGCAAAATGTAGATTTAGATTGTATAACGTATTTATAGTTACTATGTCTACTGTTTCTGTTGTTTGTTTTACTGTTACGTCTTTTTCATTGGTTGGTTCTCCATTCGTGTTGGAATTTGTTTTTACATTAGTTAGAACTATTGAAACTAGCTACACTTATTTATCTCCTATAACTTCAAATGATAGATGGTACACAGGTTTACCTCTTGCTCTTTTGTGGAATAATACGGACGATATTATATCAACCTCGTCGATCTAGTTATGTCATTTTGGGGCTTAGAAGTTCGATAAAGCGTGGTTTGATTTATTGATTTCGAAAACTTTCTGCCCGCATCCTTTATTCCTTCGAGTAACAAAAGACCCTATGTTATGTTTATGTTAGTAATGTTACGTATTGTTTCAGTTACAAAATACAGGCTACCATTTCGCCACGATGCTGGATTGCACGCCTGACCGCGGAAGACAAGCCCAGGTAATTATGTACGTATTTGTTTTTATTTTCGTATGTAAGTTGCAAAGAAAATGTAGTTTAAAGGTATTGAAATAGTTTGGTTATTTGATTGACAACACTCGGAGATCTTTATAAAGTAAGACGAATTCATAAGACTCTTAAAAGCGACATTGAAGCAAAATAAGGTCGAAACAAAGCAGACTTTAATTAAACAAACTATTTACAGCTTGTTACCACAGGAACAATTTTCAATTCTACTGAAGACTTCACACTTTCTGCAAAACCAGAGGATGTAAAACCCGAGCTTGTAAGACCAGAACCTGAAAGTACAGTTGAAATACCTCTAATGAGTAAAGTTTCTGATATTTCGAGATACGGTGCGGAGTTAGTTGCAACACTATCTGAAATAGCGTTAAAGCTATCGACTTCTTTGGATCCTGATAATGTAAGGGTACCAATATCTCACACTGAGCTGAAAGCCGCAGCATCTAGCAGTTCGGGAAGACCTCCTTTTTCGGCAGACAAAAACAAACCTTCAACATCACCAAAAACATTTTTAGCATCTATTAATGAACTTCCAAAGAAAGACCACAAGCATGAAAGAGAACGAAACATTAAAGAACAGAAGAAAGAAAGAAAGGATGAAACAAAACATAAAAGTGTTGGGACTGAAACAACTCAGCCGGAACCGACACCGCTATCAACACCGCTATCAGATAGCATGAATTCTTTAATGAATTGTTCTAAATGTGTCATCGAAGGAAAAACTTGTGTCAGAGAATGTCCCAGTTCTAAAAGTAAACGAGAAAATAGTAATAGAAAATAAATGATTCCACTTGTTCTTAAGTTGTTTTCTTATTGTGAAACTTAATTTATATTTCTTTATTTTATACTAGCTGTTGCCCGCGACTTCGTCCGCGTAGAATATGATTCCTGTTCCTTCCGATGGGAGCATTTAATCGGGATAAAATGCCCTAAGTCAGCCCATATTCTGCCTGTATACCAAATTTCAACAAAATCCGCTTCGTAGTTTTAGCGTGATTGACGGACATAGATCCGTAGGTACATCCAAATGTCCAAACAAAGAAACTTTCACATTTATAATATTAGTGTGATTAATGTGATGATTAGGTCTTCTCGAGTAACTCAATAAGTCAATAAGTTAGGCAGACATTACGATTTTTCATTTGAATAAAAATAAGTTATAACTCACTGTATTGTTATCTATGTTTTGTTCTAATTAAGATTTAAGATATGTATATTGCTCTTTTTACAGCACCTAGGCATTATCAATCATTAAAACAGTGAACAGATGCTCTGAGCTATCCGTTGTCTTTCGAATCGGTACTTAAAATGTCATTTTACCTCTTTTACTTTTTTGATTACAAACTCTCAAGACAAACTCTATGCTATCAAAAGTAGAATCATTTTAAAAACGAAAACAACTTCACTACTTTTGTAACCTTCTGTCAGAAATGACAAATTTGATAAAATGTAGACGTTTTTAGAATCAGCATTTCTTTTGGTATTTCTTATTACTTTTTTCTTTTCAAATTACCGTGTCTTGTGTGCAAGTGATGGAAGAAGATATCAATCAATATTGAAATATGAAAGGGAAACCATTTTGGAAAAGGTTGCGATGACGAGTCGTTATAACAATGCATTAGGTCGGCAATCTGAAGGGTTTGGTGGTAAGCACTTGATCATTTAACTCTTTGAGTACCGTCATTATAGACACAATTAAAGAAAAATAGGTTGCGGTCACCGGTGTCCTCGCGGTGTTTGACAGTTTAATTGATGCGAATGGGCCGGCTCAATCAGAGTGATACGGTCTCACAGAAAACCGGCAATAACAATACTCTTGCAGATAATGCAAACATGTTTTAACTACCAGTTACATATAAATCAATGGTAAAGAAACAATATGTAACACTTTAAAAAGCTAATAAATCTTAGAATTCACTTGAAAGGCGTTAGACCAGTTTCATCATAAAGTTTTAATCTGAGAATAATTGCTTGGGACTAAGTTGAGTAGCCGTTAAATGACTCGAGCACGGAGGTAAAACACAAATAAAACGTACATATATAATCTCAAACCTATGCCTCATGGGGGTTCAGAGACTATGAAACGCCAATTGCTACGATCCTTACATAATTCTTTCACTTCCTTAACAGTCATCAGTCGTTTCATGCATGAGTGTCGGTTAAGGGTCCTTTGATTCGGCCCTTCTTTAATATTTCACTAATCTGGTCGATATATGCCCGTGCAAGATGCCTTCTGCCGAAGGTCCCATTCATATCTGCTCTGTATAGTTCTTTCGTAATTCCGTTTACAGATAATAAATCTTTCTACATCTTATCTACATAAATAATGTTTCATGCTGATTTGTTCACAGTAGGTTTTTTAAGGATAATGAAATAATATCCATATTATTTAAAATTGTGTTTGCAGATCATTTATGTCCAGTAGAATGTATAACCAAATTGCTGTTATTTATTGCCATCGTCGTCGTAATACTGGTGAGATCTTTTCCATATCTTATATTTGATTTATTAAATACTGACAATCAGCTGAATCTAGATTAGACTCAGTGGCACGTCGAGATATAACACGATTTTTGTCTAAAATTTGTGCTGATTCTTGACAAGATTCTACAAAAATTTGTTTACTTCTGATCTAGAGCCACATACATTAATGCTCACTACAGAAAATTATCAAAATTAAATAGCTTTCTTTCCAGTACATACCTCTAGGGAAATTCTACCTAAAATGCGACCCTGAATGTTGCAACAGCGCGAAACCACCACCACCTCCAAAAGAGAGGTACAGTAGTACCATGTGTTGCCTCTGCGACGTGTACCAAAGACTAATGCAGTAAGTATTACTATTTATTACCAGCAAAACTGCCTGTCCAGCATAATAATGATTGAGAAAAGGTCTACTAGATTTAAGTCACATCTGGACTCTTATCCGTGAGTAGCGTGTCGCGCTGCCAACTCACACTGCTCATGTATAAGACTGCTATTTTTTCCAAGTTCTACAACCAAAATCTTATATTCGAATATCAGCAATAGTTTTATGTCTAATGAACTTTAAGTTAACGGTATTCTACCTTGCCTATGTTTGTTGTTGATTAGACGTACATCACGCCTTTTATTCCCGAAGGGGTAAGCAGAGGTGCACATTATGCCACTGTATAATGTAACACCCACTTTTCACTATTTATGTTATGAGTCCCATGTAATAGGGGGTGAGCCTATTGCCATATACCGGGCACAATTCCAGACTCCGTGCTACTACTGAGAATATTTTAAAAATCCAGTACTACTTTGCCCGACCCGGGAAATTAACCCGAGACCCCTTGCCCGGCAGTCGAACTCGCGACCACTCGGCCTACGAGGCAGTCATTTACATTTTTATTTCGATTATTTGTAGTTCTATTTATTATTATTTTATTTATTCTTCACTAGAGTAGATAAAGTTATTGATTCGGAGATTTGTAATAAAAGTTAATAAACTTTTTTTCTAGAGTTGGACAAGTCTCTTTGGAAGTGGTGGAATTGTTTCTGTGCGCATCTGTAAAAGTTATGTATTCAGTCAAGTTGAGGGTAAGTCCATATTTCTATTCCATAAACTATTTTTGTATTAAATATAATAGGGCTGATGACAGGGTGTGAAAATTTAAAATGTAATTAGTCCGTTAGTTAGGTAGGTAATGAAAAAATATTACACACATATTTTTTTATTTTGTCGTATAATAAAACATCATAGGAGTATCAGAGCGCATAGCAGTGATGAATATAAAGCTACCGGGGTTCAAAGATCCATGGTCTATCATACAAGTTTACTCATTTACGGAACAATCTGAAATAAGATCAGTAGACTCTTTCTACCAAGATGTAAATAAAGCAATCCGAGATCATGCTTACAAAAACCTTATTGTACTGGGAGACTTCAATGGTCAAATTGGAGAACGACAGCCAGAAGAAGACTCAGTCTTGGGACCATTTATTTATAGAAAAAAGACAAGAAGCAGAAACGGAGAGAAGCTTGTAAACTTTGCACAGGAAAATGGCTTGAAAATCTTAAACACAATGTTCAAGAAGAAAGAAAGTAAAATGTGGACTTGGTTATCACCAGACGGGACAATAAAAAACGAAATAGACTTCATAATGACTAACAAAAGCAGATACTTCTCAAACATGAAAGTCATAAATAATTTCAATTTCAATACCAACCATCGAATGATTCGTGCAGAATTGTTGGCCTTCCCACCGAAAAATCCAAGACCAAGAAACAAAGTGATGAACACAAAGCCGACCAAATACCAAACAACCGAAATAGTCAATCTAATTAAGCCAAAACTCATGGAATACAATAAAGTACTAACTAACATGCAGGTGCAAGAAAAATACAACTGGTTAGAAGGAATAATCAAAACACCTATTGAACAAGGGACTTTTAACAAGAATGTATCTAACAAGTGGATATCTGCTAAAACCGTTAACCTTCTTAATCAAAGAGCTGACCTAATCAATGGCAAAAATACCAAAGACAGGCGAAAACAAATAGCAAAACTCAGCAAAGAAATAAAAGAAAGTATTAGAAAAGATAGAACTCACAGAAGAATGGAAACAATAGAAAAACACATTCTACAAACGGGAGGAATAAAAAAGGCATATAAGGAGTTAAATGAAAGAAAAAAAGATTGGATTATACGGATGACAGATGGTAAAGGATCGAAGGAGAGCCGAAGGCAAGGAATACTACAAATCGCTACAACTTGCTACAAAAAACTATACGAAAATACTAAAATGGGAAAAGAAATAGAATTGTTAGAAACTTCCCCAGTACCGAGTATCATGCAGGAGGAAATAGAATTCGCTCTGGAAACCCAAAGAGATGATAAAGCCCCAGGACCAGACGGAATAAGCAACGAAGTATTAAAACAAGCGAAACAGAGTATAACACCTATTCTCAGAGAAATTTTCAATGATATCATCAATTCAGAAACGATTCCACAGCAATGGACTAAATCAAATATAATCCTTTTGTACAAAAAAGGAGATCAATACGATATCGGAAACTACCGACCCATAAGTCTGATGTCCAACCTGTACAAAATATTTGCAAAGATCCTACTCAAGCGAATAGAGAAAAAACTCGAAGAACAACAGCCAATAGAACAGGCGGGATTTAGGAAAGATTATTCAGTGCTTGATCATATCCATGCTGTTAGGCAAATCATCGAGAAATACGGAGAATATCAACTCACATACTATCTGGCATTTGTCGATTATAGCAAGGCATTCGACTCGTTAATACATATACATATCTGGGAGGCCTTAAGAGAACAAGGAATCGAGCAAAAATATATAAGATTAATAAGAAATGTATATAAAAATAGCTCGGCATGCATTCTGTTAGAAAAGAAAGGAGAACCATTTAAGATACAAAAAGGAGTAAGGCAAGGAGACCCTCTCTCTCCAAAACTTTT